CTACACTTATGCCATAGATCAGAGGGGAGATTAGAGGGAATTTGCTCGTTTAGTTCTGAAGAATTTGTGGTGGATTGCGTTTTGTAGTGTGTTGGCGTTCTGCCAACAATCGATCATGCAACCATATGTAGTTTCCCTGCAACTTTGTTTATCATCAACTTAATTTATTCATTTCCTGTTATTTAGTTCTTCATTATCATTTATCCACATCTGAAACTAGCCTTTAGTATTTAGATTCAGAAGCACACTTAGCATTGAAAATGCATGTCCATTTGTTTCTTCAGTTTTCTGTCCATTATATGCCAACCTTCCTTGCCCTTCCTACTACCCAATTTCACACTAAGAATCTCTTGAGTCATGTTTATATATAGTTGCTCATTTGCTTGTGTGTTAATTCATTCTTCAATCAGTCTTCATATTCATTGATGAAAAATTACATTGTTAGTATTCATTTATCTTTCTTTCTTCTTCGGTGTTATTCTGAATAATCAATGTCTCTCTTCTCAGTTTTTTCAGTGTCTCTTTTTACCATGTTAGTCACCGAAGAAAAGTATATTCTTAGTCCCCAGTCGCTGTTTCATCAGAGTCCTTTTGAGCAATCATTCACTCTTTTTTATTTCATTCACTTTCGTTAGTCTTGGGGCTGTTCTCCCTTTCTTTGTTTAGTCCTTCTCATTTTTCTCATTCTGTTTATTAAGAACTTTTCATTTACTCCTTTCTTTTTCTTGTCATTTTTCTCCTTTCATTCTTCATTCTTCATTTTTTTCCTCTAGTCCCTTTATTCTTTGTTCTGACATTTATTTCAGTATTTCTTCAGCCATTTGCTTCTTCATTTTTTTATTCAGTTTGTTTATTCTTCATTTATTTCCTTCAGCATTTTGTTTTCTTCAGTCGATGTTTGTTTTTCACTTTAGTAACTTCCTTTGGCGTTTTGCTTGCTTCATTCTCTGTCTTTCAACTATTTAGTCATCTTCTTGAGTTTTCAGTCAATCTTTCCTTTTGCTTTCTCTCAATTTTATCAATTATTCATTTTTCATTGACTCTTCCCTTCAGCTTTTTCTCAATTTCATCAGTTTTCGTCCGCACTTTTAGGGTTAGGTGTCATTTTGTTCAGTTTCATGTTTAGTTTCGGTGTTAGGTGTCATTTTGTTCAGTTCGGGTTATCTTTTCATTAGTATCCAGATTTTAAGCCCCTTTGTTTTTCTTAGTAAATGTTCAGTCAATCATTACATTAGTAAAAATCTGTTTCTTAGTCACTATTTTTTGCTTTAATAAGTTATTTCATTCTTTTGTTTTGAACTACTCTCATTTCCAGTCCAAGTTTCAGAACAACTCTTTATTTCTATAACTTTTTGTTACCTTTTCTTCAAAAGCAAACTAGCATTCCTGGGATTTTTTAGCTTAAGAGTTTGTTAATAAAAAAACAAGAATATGCTTTAAATAATTTATATCATTCTTTAGTTATGAACTACTCTCATTCTTCAGTCCAAGTTTTAGAATCACTCTTTATTTCTATAACTTTCTCTTCCCTTTTCTTCAAAATCAAACTAGCATTCCTGGGATTTTTTAGCTTAAGAGTTTGTTAATAAAAAAAACAAGAATATGCCGATGGCTGATGGCAGATAGCATTTTTTTGGGGGTTAGACAGTTATATGTGCAGTCAGTAGTTTTCAGTGTTAGGTGTCATTTTCTTCAGTTTTTTGAGTTACCACATAGGTAGGTTAGTTATCTAGTTTAGCAAGTTTTCGGAAAATTTCCATTTTAGTTTCGTATTTTTAAGGTGTTCATTTTCCAGATTGAATGGGGGTGTCACTGGCATCCTCCAGAAAATATTCAGTTTATGAGTTTTCTGATTGTGTTTTCAGTCTATATTCATTTATCATTTCAGTACAAGACCGCTGACAGTGGTGTCACTTCCAGTGGCTGTAGCAGCCAAGAAGGAGCTGCCTGTTGCCGGCGGGGCTCAAGCGGTGTTACTTTTTAGTGGCTACAGGCAGTAGCAGCAAAAACCAAAGCCCTGTATATTCTGATGGCTAAACTGGTAAGCATCTCACCAACAAAATACTTTATCCATGTGCCTCGTCACCATGGTGTGTATGTGTGTGTTTAAAAATGTGAGGCTAAGGTCAATCATCCACCTAGTTTTTGGTAGTACCAGTACAACTCTTTAGTCTTTAGTGCACACTAAGTTTCTTCGTCAGTAACCAATTAGCCAACAGAAACATACATGCAAGGAGGGGAACGAGAGCATGAATGTATGCATGCAGATGCAGCTAACAATAATTGTTATACTCTAATTATCATTTTAGTTATTTACTCCAGTTTTCATTGTCATTTGACAATTGCATTACCAGTATGTGGTAGATCAGTATCAAAAATTTCTTATGGCTCGTTGGAAGTTTCTGAAGACAATGGTCAACAAATTATTTCAAGTTCGTGCATGAGATGCATCCTGGAGTTCTTCGGTACTTCATTCTTCCTGAGTATTCGTTGAACATGGAGAGAAGATCAGTTTCCCGGAAAAAAAGAGAGAAGATCAGTTTTCTTCTTCAGTTTGTCTATGTCCATTCATTCAGCCATCAACTCTTCAGTTTTCATTTTTTTTAGAAAAGGAGCATTACCCCCGGCCTCTGGGCGATGTATGCAGCCATTTTATTAATTATTTACAAAGACCTTACAAAATAGTACATAAGTCATCTAAAGCTACAAGCGTAGCAACAACTGTCGCTACTCCTATCCACTTGATGAAGAGGTGCCGATAGCCCGAGTCTAATACCAGACAAACATCCCACGAAAGCCTAACATCTAAATCCGGAGGCCCCGACCAAGCCACATACTGGGTTTGGGGTATAAACCGATCTGAAGCACTCTCATGTGTCATCGCCGCCGTCTTCCACCAATCCATCTTTAGAGCAGAAACTAACGCACCGACCTTGCCAGGCCTCTGTACCATCGATGCCACCATGACACCAGACAACGTCCTTCTCCTGTGCGAGTCCATCTCCGCGCATCGGACGCCGAGTCTCCACTGCGCCACGCCGCTGAGATCCGCCACCCTCAATGTGTAAGATGAAGCACCGCTCCACCAAAGAAGCCGTCCACTGGTCCCTCGAACACGTGTACACCTCCAAGAATGACGCCCCCAAGGGGGAAACGACACCAGAGTGCCGCCGTCATCCGATCTACTGATCTAGGGTTTCCCCCGGAGGTAGCAGAGAGTGCCTTTGAACTTCTCCAGGGCGATGCCTTCAAGAAGTGAACGACGCAGACAACACCGCCACCGCCGGCCTTGGCAGCTAGCCGAGACCAGGTTTTCACCCATATCTGTTCGAAGAGCCTCCATCAAGCATCTTGTGCATGGACCGCCGCCATCTCTGCTGGGATTGGACGAAAGGGATCCAGGACGCCGCTGCCTGACCGACCATGGCACCACCACAGTGCCTACAGCCGGCACCGTCAGGCCCACCACGCTTGCCTGTAGATGCACACCGAAACCACCGGTCCACCCAAGCCCATCTGGGCAAGGCGAGACCCAGGATCCCGGCCGCCACCACAGGGGCGCCTCTGCCACGGGGAGGTCGCGCCTCCCCTGTCGCCGCCGGGATCCCGCCGCTCCTTGCCGCTGGATCACCGCTGTACCATGCGCCGCCGCCGCCAGGAGATCTCGCCACCACCGCGCAAGGGAGAAGGCCCCGCCGCCGCCATCACAGGCCAGGCTTCGCCGGCACGACCTCAGGCGGCAGCAGGAGGGAGGAGACGAGGGTGGCGGCCTAGGGCCGGCGGCGCGATCGCCCCCCGTGTCACCTAGGGAGTCAGTTTCCATTTATGTGCTTTTTGTTGTCAGTCTTAGATTGAGGTGGTGACTGGTGAGGGGTATAGGAGTTTGTCAGTCTTGTCTGCCATGTATTTTCATTCAGTTATTACCAGAATAGGTTTTTTCATTCATTTCAAATTGCCACTGATTTCCAGTTTGTCCCTCCGGGTTCAGTTATTCTACAGAAGACATATAGTTCAGTTATTCGACACTTTTGTGTTTCCATATGCCTAGTGTAGCTCTTTGATAGTTCATATGGGAGTCAGCTTTCCTTTCTTCTTCATTTCCTCTATGACCTGGCTAAGCTATCAGTCAGTCAGCTAGAGTCTAGCTCTTAGTCATGTTCAGTCTTTCATTCCTCTCTTCTTAGGGGTTGGCGCAGCAGTTCTGATCACCATCAGGAACAACACTCTGAATGAAGTGAATATGATGATTGTCTTCGACACCATCTAAGTAGCAGATTGTTGTTGTCTGTGTGGGATGGTAATAGGTTTTTGCAAGGGCCAGTTAGGGGACAGGCTGAGTGCAAACATTTGCTTAAAGGTCCAAAACGGGAAGGTAGAATTCGACCTGAAACGGGATGTAAAACAGACTTTTTTCAGACTGAGCATTGACTGAAATTACAACAATACATGTGTCACAAACTGACTGGACATAAAAAACGACCTAAACCAAATGGAAAAACACATAACTGATAACTAGACACCCCCAGGCTACTCTTTTCCTTGACTCGTCTGTTCTAGACTGCATCTACTCAATTACTCCCTCCGTAAACTAATATAAGAGCGTTTAGAATACTATAAGTAGTGATCTAAACGCTCTTATATTAGTTTACGGAGGGAGTACTAAGTAAATCAAGCATATCAGTGTCTGACAAATGAAAATAACAGAGGATCCTCCAAATCTTGTGCAGGAGCAGAGGGACGGTTCAGTTGACAGCTTAGGCTAATTTCACTTCACTGCCCGAAAATAACACGAAATCACGCACGCTTTCTTTTGCGACAATAATGAGATTCTAATTCACGAACTGCATTTATATGATGCAAGTTCTTAGTTCTTAAGAACGAAAATTATATAGTACATGAAAGGAATCAACAATACAAAGTGATCAACGAAGAGGAAATATATAACAGAAAGAGTCTACAATAATATTCTAGTACTTCAGTTTCTAACAATGGTTACTGGATCACTTGTAAAGATCGTCTTCATCCTCATCAGCAGCAGCTGCCACGGAGGTGTGGACAGCAGCTTCTGCCGCCTGTGGCTGCGCTGGGAAGCGGAACTCGGTGCCGAACCCCCTAGACTGTTGCAGCGTCTGCGCGAACGCCTGGTACTTCCTGATGTCAGCATCGCTCACGCTCCGCCTCGCGTACCTCATCGACTCCTCGAAGTGAGACGCCTTAATCTGAGCCACCTCGTCTTCCTGACCGCCGTCCACCTCCATGGTGTCTTTCCCCATCCTCTGCCTCTCCATGTCCTTTTCAATGTCTTCTCTGATGGCGTACTTGCACGCCCTCTGGCAGATCTCTGTGATATCGGCGCCGCTGAAGCCGGCGGTGAACCTAGCGAGTGCACCGAGGTCGACGTCCTTGGCCACGGGAGACTTCCGGAGGCAGGCCTTGAAGATCTGGTGCCGCGAGGCCTCGTCCGGCAAGGGGATGTAGATAAGCTGGTCCAGGCGGCCGGGACGGAGCAACGCCGAGTCAATTATGTCCGGCCTATTGGTAGCGCCGATGATGAAGACAGTCTTCTTGGCGTTCATGCCGTCCATCTCAGTGAGCAGCTGGTTCAGGACCCTGTCCGCCGCGCCACCGGCGTCGCCCACTCTGCCGCCCCTTTGGGTAGCGATGGAGTCCAGCTCGTCGAAGAAGAGCACGCACGGCGCAGACTGACGCGCCTTGTCGAAGATCTCGCGCACGTTGGCCTCGCTCTCGCCGAACCACATGGTGAGCAGCTCTGGCCCCTTGATGCTGATGAAGTTGGCCTGGCACTCATTGGCGATCGCCTTCGCCAACAAGGTCTTGCCACATCCCGGTGGCCCGTAGAAGAGGACGCCCTTGGACGGTGACATGCCGAACTTTTCGAATTTCTCCGGGTGCTCCACCGGGTACTGAACGGTCTCTTGCAGCTCCCTCTTGACGCCGTCGAGGCCGCCGATATCATTCCAGGTGACGTTGGGCACCTCGACAATGGTCTCACGTAGTGCAGACGGGTTGGTGCCGACGAGAGCCGTCTTAAGGTGGTCATTGGTGACGGCCATGGAGTTCAAGATCTCGGCATCAATGGTATCGTCCTCTAAGTCGATCACGTCCATCTTCTCCCTGATGCACTGCAGCGCCGCCTCAGTGCAGAGCGCGGCCAAGTCGGCGCCGACGTAGCCGTGCGTATCCTTGGCAACCACCTCAAGGTTGACGTCCTCGTCCAGCTTCATGTTCTTGGTATGGATGCGGAGCACTTCGAGACGCCCGACCTCGTCCGGCACGCCAATGTCGATCTCACGATCGAACCTCCCGAAGCGCCTCAAGGCGGGGTCGATGCTGTTGGGACGGTTTGTGGCGCCCATGACAATGACGTGCGCGCGGGCTTTCATGCCGTCCATCAGAGTCAGCAGCTGGGAGACGATGCGCCTCTCAACCTCGCCGTGAGTCTTCTCCCTGTTAGGAGCGATGGAGTCGATCTCGTCGATGAAGATGATGGAGGGCGCGTTCTTCTCGGCCTCCTCGAAGGCCTTCCTCAGGTTGCTCTCGCTCTCTCCGGCCATCTTGGACATTATCTCCGGGCCGTTGATGAGGAAGAAGAAGGCCCCGGTCTCGTTGGCCACCGCACGGGCGATCAGAGTCTTGCCCGACCCGGGAGGGCCGTAGAGGAGGATGCCCCTGGGAGGCTTGACGCCAATGGACTTGAAAAGCTGCGGATGCCTGAGTGGCAACTCGACGAGCTCCCTGATCAGAGTCAACGGTTTCCCCATGCCACCCACGTCGTGGTAGCCGACATCGTCCAGCCTCTCCTCGTCCTCCCGCTTGACGGGCTCGCCCTCGCAGAATATCTCCGTGTCGGGCGCCACGACGCAGTAGTCCGCCACGGGGTCGATCTCCATGACCTTGAACTCGACGCTCCGCATGCCGCCGCGCACGAGGAAGAGGTCGCCCTTGTGGACCGGGCGGAAGGCGTCCACGAAGTAGGGCTTGAGGTAGGCGTCGAAGAGGTTGCCCGTGATGCCCTCGACGGTGTCGTCCAGAGGGAGGATGTGCACGCGCTTGCCGAACTTGGCGTCGTGGCACAGGTGCACGGACACGACGTCGGCGATGTGCACGCGCAGGTTGGAGCGGGCCACCTTGTTGATCCTGAGCTTGTGCCCCTCGCAGGTGTCGTCGGGCAGTGCCATGCAGACCGTGTTGTGGCGGCGTTTGCCCTTGAGCAGCACGATGTCGCCCTGGAATATGGAGAGCTTCTCCATTGTGGCCGGGTGGAGGTTGCACACGGAGTTGTCGTCGTTGGTGGCGGCCTCCTCCACCACCAGCCGGTTCGCCGCCTTCTTCGACGCCGCCGTGCTAGCCATCGCCTTCAACTCTCGTTGGTCGATGGACTTGCTGCGTCTCTGGTGTATTACTACTCTCGTTGGATGTTGTCGAGCGCTGATTTGCGTTGGTGTTGTGGTGAGCTGGAGACGTGGGGTTCGCACCCTTTATTGAAGGCACGGCCGACTCGGGTTGGAAGGCCGTGATCGTTCGCGTCATATTCGTACTCTTTGTACGTGGGCCGTGCCGTACTAGGACGCTAGCTCTTTTCCTACTATCTTCCTGCTACCTTGGCACGATCGGATCGAAAGAACCCTTCGAACTCGGAACAGTTGTACCTGGCTGCGCTAACAATGGCGTGTCCGTGCTGGAGGAGGAGGAGACTGCTGTCGTTCGTGCGATGCGAGACGGACAACACGGAGCCGCTCGGTCGCCGGCTGTCGGATGCCAAGGAGGAGGCGGTCTCCGACGGCGAGGCACTCGGGGGACTCATCGAGCGCGTGGCGTCCCTCCAGCGCGCCCTCGAATCGGCGGTGCTGCAGCGTAACGTGGCCGTGGCACTGATGCACCAGGCCCAGCGGCACGCGGAGGAGGCCGAGGCTGCCGTCGAGGCCGCTGCGAGGGCCGGCGAGCTTGCCGCGGCGGAAGTGCGGGAGAAGATGGAGCAGAGCGTGGCGACGGACGCGCGCATCAGGGAGCTCGAGAGGGAGATGCTAGTGCTACGTGATGGCGAACAATGGGCGCTGGAGACCGCGTTGGAGGCCGCCGCGGCGAAGACGCGCGAGAAGGAGGGGGGAGGCATGGGAGGGGCGTGCGCGTCAGGAAGCTCGAGGAGGAGATGCTACGTGACGAGCGATGGGTGTCAGACATGATCGATTCGTCCAGCTTGGCATTGCGACATCGACATGTTTCAATTCTTCTTGACATTGCCGTTGAGTATTACTCCCTCCGTCTCGAAATTCTTGTCTTAGATTCGTCTAGATATGGATGTATCTAATGCTAAAGTGTGACTTGATACATTCGTATTTAGATAAATTTAAGACAAGAATTTTAGGACGGACGGAGTACTAACATTCTTCGGAATATTTTTTCCTTGAAATTTGTTTTTATCTAGGGGGTATCTATGTTGCATTAGAAAGAGACTGGGCATCATTCAAATTTTACAGCCAATAGAAAGTTGACAAATGTATGAATGTTTCAGGCACCAATGTATGCCCTCCTCTAAACACCGCCACAAAAAAAACCTAAATGCTACAAAGTGCAGCTGCACTTTGCGGTTGAACCGAGCACACGCACGCCACTATCGGATGAGAGAG